CTACTAACCGGATCGATTGCGACCAGACAAAGCGTAAGCTTTATCTCTAATACTCTTCTATATAATCATCTGAATGTTTATCATAAGTCTTTGTGAAATTTAACTAATCTTGTTTACTGTACGTATAGGTGATCTTCAGCCAATCTTCGGATCTGATGGAGCGCCAGTCCTCGGCCGCTTCTTCGACAGAAGAGACCTCGGGTCCTCAGGGCGATCTGAGCAGTGGTTCGAGGCGCGACGATGGTCAACCCGATTTCACCGTTTTCAAGGACTTTGATTTCCTGGAGTACGAGGACAGTATTGCCGGCGAGTCTACGGACAACTTTAATTGGGGAGTTCGTCGCCATCAGCTCTTCGAGGGCGATGAGGATCGCTTGAATTGCGGCAGTGGCATTGGTGGCTCCATCAAGGGAGGTCACTCATCAGCCCTGGAGGACAGCTTCAGTGATAAGACTCCCATCTTAAGCAAGAGGAAGCGACAGATTGCAGATGATTCTTCGGATGAGGAGGCCGAATCCGAGTCACCATTGGATGAGGATCATCGTCAGTCGTTCTTGAAGTCTGGCTATAGTGCAGTGCCTCCCACTTCGCTGAGTCTCAGGGAGCGAAGGCGCCGAAATTCGGTGTCGAGAAGCGATACAAGTGGATCAAGTGCTGGAGATTTGGGTGACCTCACACCCTGCAATGCCTCGCCGCATCTACCCGGCATTATTCGTTTTGCAGCCATTCGCGATGAGGCGGAGGAAAACTGGCGTCTCCAGTTGCAGGCTATGTTGGTCAATCAACCCTCGGCCCACACCTCGGAACTGCTGCAGCAGTTATACAGGCTGATCAAGGAGCTTACCTTCAAGACTATTAACATTTCCAAGGAAGCCAAGAAATTCTTCACCGGCATTGGCTCACAGCTGGGCAACAGGATCTCCCTTTTCACGGATCTGCTAAGTTCTCGGGCGGATCCTCCCCAGGTTTGGTGCAGCGAGCTGCAGGCAACCACTCCCAAGCTCTTTGAAACGCTGCGTTTCAATGTTCTGGAAGTGCAAGAGCATCTAGAGACCTTCTTTGATCGCAAAGATCAGGTTTTGGAGGTATAGTTAACAATCTATAAAAAAAGGGGTCAGTCCTTAAATTTAAATTGTTTTTTATGTTTAGTGCCTGGATGCCGTGAAGACCAGTTGTAAACTGTCTCTCTTCAACGAGGCAGATGTAGCTGCTTCTGGCCTGGAGTTGCCCAGCTCCTCCAGCGTAGCCTACATGCCCTTCGATCCAGCCTCAACGGAGGTGGTCCTCGACTTGGGCCGTTCCCTTTACAAGCTGATGTTCCAGCTGCTGCTGCTTATCGAATCTAATCACAAGATATCCTCGAATGTGGTGAATCATTTCCGTATCAACGAAGACGTGAGTGAAAAGATGGAATTTCAGTTTGAGTTAGTTACTCTAATATATTGCTTTGCAGATGCATGACATATCCGATCTCTATGCCCTGGTTCGCGATGCCCTGGTGCGCTATACCAGCGAGGCCGAACTGGATTGCTTGGAATCCTCCACCTCAACGGAGGGCGAGCACACGCCGACGCCTTCTCCCGGCTTGCCGATGACCCACGAGGAGTTTGAGGCTGCCCTCAACGAGCACATCGATCTGCAGAGATGGCCTAGCGCTATAGCTCATGTGCGTCAGTATCGACGAATTTCGACGCTCAACGCCAGCGGTGATCAAAACCTGACCATATTTAGTTATAGCAGCCTGGACAATCGCCAGAAGTGCGATGATATGTCCGTGATACTGAATGCATATGCGCATGGTATTATGAAGGATCGCACAGGTAATTATAAGTGTTTATAATTTTAGAGATTTGTAATGTAAAAATGTTCCTACCTTTCCAGCAGAAGCCTTCATAGTATCCAAATCCGACTCGGAACTGTTTGAGGTTTATGCCATTCTCTCGGAGAACTTATATCACGTATCCAGCGCTCTTACTAACATGGAGATCAGCATGAAGAGCTACTCGGCGGGCAGCGCATCAGGCAATTTGCATCGCAGCGAACAGGACATTGTGACAAATCTTTAAATTAATCTGTAGACTAAGTTATTCGCAGATCTAAGCTCCCTTTTATATGTAATCTTTTAGTATGTAAGCTGCATACTAGACACTTTGGTGTACGTAAGCGATCATTATTATTGAATGCGAAAACAAATGTGAGTTAGGTACGATCCAATATATTTATCAAATACAGCACAATAAGTCTATTCTCTCCTTCTAAAATGAATCATCTTGGTAATTACCTTTCTTGTGGTAAACCACTGACTGTTGGTAAAACAACAATATTTATTAATAATTATTTACATTCAATGAAGCCATTCAGGTCCGTGTTAAACTAAAAACAAATTCAAAACGATCCAAGAAAATGGTGACTCGCTGCCAGCTAGGCAAATAGATTTTTAAGCGCATTTCGTTGCTGTCGGTTGTACTGGGCCAGGAGCTGCTTGGTGCTATTCAGTTCGTTTAGGATCTGTTTGTTCTCGGGCAGAAGATTGTGCGCCTTCTTCAGATCATTGATGGCCTCCTCGTAGTTGCGCAAACCACGCTGTGCCTGGCCACGCCGGTAGAAAGCCTTGCTGCATTTGGGATCCAGACGAATGGCCTCCGTGCAATCATTCTTAGCACTAATATAGTTCCCCAGTTTTAGGTCAACGGCGGCTGAGTTAATATTGTTCACCACGGAGAAGCCGTCTATCTTCTGCAGATCCGTATCGACGAGGTGTTTTTTAAAGGGGTTTAGTTGCTGCCAGCCGAACTGTTTGCTAAGGTAATGATAGTAACGATTGGCCTTGCGATATTTTGCACGGGCCTCGTGATAGCGGCCGAGACTGTAGAAGTGATTGCCCGATTGGCGTATGACTGTGAGCAGCTCCACCGCCGCGTCTGCCTGAAGTGGGGGTATTGGAATTGGGTCAGTACTGCAGCTATGAAATGGAAAATCTTATCTTCACTTACTGTGAACTTGCCGAACTTGCGGGGCCAGTCCTGCGGATAGGGGGGCAGCTTGTCCGCCGTCTCGTCGCTGCACTCAAGACCCCAATCCTCGCCAGAAGCTATCTCCCCGCAGTCCCGTATCACGATCTCCGCCGTGGGATCGCCCTCGTCATTGCAGTTTTGTTCCATTTCAGCTACAATACCCAGACCGCGTAGAACACGTCCTACGACTACGTTGGTTCCATTCAGATTCTCACAGCCGACGGCCGAGATGAAAAACTGTGAGTTGGTGGAGTTGGGCTTGCCGTAGTTGGCCATGCTGACTACGCCTTCTTCGTTGTGCTGGGAATGATTTGTTAATTATAGCATGGGTACAAGAAGAGAATCTATTTTAAGAAGGTATAAGACACCCTTAAGGTCTTTTAAGATTTCTAATCACTTGAAAAGGCTCTGGAAGAGAAAAGGACCATCAAATTGGGGTCCTTATCCATGGAACCTTTAAATGATTAAGAATCTCTAGAGACCTAGGTGGCCCCTGCTTAAAATTCGACCAACCGTGAGTTCAAAGTTCTCATCCTCAAATACTGGACCGTAGATGCTCTCCCCGCTGGTTCCATCGTTATTAACGACATCCCCACTCTGGACGGCAAAGACGCGCTTGACCTTGTGGAATCTGGTGCCCTTGTAATGGAGTGGTTTGCCCATGGTACCGATGCCACATTCGCCCGTGCAGAGAGCACGGAAATTTTCCGCTGTCTTCGGCACAACATCCTTGCGCAGTTCAATTATCATGCGACCCGCTGCGAGATTAATACAGAAGATTCAACTGGTTGGCATGGCAATGGCCTCAATCTCGGTCAGAATCCACTCACCATCCTCCTTGCCAATGGAAATGTCCAGGTAAACCAGCGGATTGGTAGCTTTCACTGCCCGGAGCAGCTTGCGTTCGTCCATGTTCGCCCTGTAGGGCGGGCTCTGAGTTATGTGACTTATCACTGCCCGCCAACTAGACCAGGCTGGTCAAAATTATCACCCGATTACTAAGTTGCGAATAAATTTGTTTACCTTATTTTAATAATGTGGCTGTGGTAGGAAAATCTCAAAACACCTGCAGCTGCTCACGACTTATAGCCATTGCACACTGACGCTTAATACAAATGTTGCGACTGATTATCACAACTCATTCATAAGTAGTATAACTTCTATGGTAAATTATTCAGCATTTTGAAGTTTAAAAATAACTCCTTTTGATTAAATTGAAAAATATTTATTTTGTATCCATTGTGTAGAGGCGTTTAGCAAGTACACCCCCATAACCTACCAGTTTTATTTACATTGTAGGTCTATCTACACAACAACATGTTATGCGTAGAATCCATGTAGATAACTTTTAGTAGTTTGGTGTGTAGGTTAAGGGGAGCTTGGAGGCCATTTAAGCTGTGTCGTCTGCAAATCTGGAAATTTTTTAGAAGTGTTTGGTGAAGTTTTTTACAGATGTGGCGTAGAAGGAGTGGCTGTTGTGATTGGTAATAAATGGGACTGAGGAAAAAGAGTCTGTACATATTAATGCTGATTTTAATGTTTCAGTATTCTCACAAAAAATAAGGAATTTTATATTTATTTCGTTTTAAACGCTGAGCAACTTGTTGGCACATTTAAATTTAGAATAATAGACTACTATTAATGATATATTTCTTAAATTCTATATTAAAACTTTGAAAAATCTTTCCGATTTAAGAACTATAAAAATGTTTATTGTTTAAAGTGATGCTTGCTTCCATTTGACTTTAATTTCATTATAAAGCTTTCTTGTGTCTATGGTAGCCATACCCCTTCGATGAGGTCTAAATTTTTAATGCTTTTGAGACACGCCCATCCAATTCAGTTAATTATTTGTGTTCTCTGCCGAGTTGCACAATAACCACAACTCATAGCCAATTATTCCATGGGAACCATATAATTTGGGCCACTAATTGAGTCCAAAAAGCCTTTGCAAATGCCTTAAAAACATAGGATACAGGTTGTCTTTAAACAGTCTTAGAATAAACTACAAGGAATGCAGGACCAACTGGATCAGGAGCTCGAGCGCATCGACAATATGCCCAAATTGGGGCTTCTGTGGGTGGAGTACAGTGCCTACGCGTTGGGTGTTAATATTGCACCCAGGAAGCGTAGCTCGAAATACTGTCGATTGTAAGCAGAACAGTTCTATTTCTATCTAGATTCATGTACTAATTATATCATTCTAACCTAGAACTCGCATTGTGGTCTTGATTGTTAACCTGAGTATCATATACAGCCTAATCGCTTTCATTATGGAAAACTATATGATCTCTTTTGAGACCTACGTTGAGGTTTGCTTGGATTATTTGCTATGTTGTTTGTTTCTTAATTGTTGTGTGTCCTACCAGGCGGTTTTACTCACCTTTCAACTGAGCGTTGGCGTGGTAAAGATGTTTCACTTTCAAAATAAGGTGGATTCTTGTACCAAACTGGTGTTTTCTACAGAGACAGGTCAGGTCCTAAAGTCTCTGGGGCTCTTTGAATTGGGTAAGCCAGAAAATCATTTAGGGGTATTAACTTTTTCAAACCAATTTTCACAGACTTGCCCAAAAAACAGGAGCTCCTAAAAGCACTCAGCTTGATCTTGATGGACAATTGGCTTATCATTGATAAACAGGTTATGTTCTTCTTCAAGATCGTCTGCATGCCTGTGATATACTACACAATGCGACCCTATTTTCAGTATATGTACGATTGCTATATTGTTAAGGAGACCTGTGAAATGACCTTGAGTATGTGAAATGTTGGAAAGCCGTTTTCTTTCGTCTTACCATATTTTTAACATTTCAGCTTACCCAGCCATTGTTCCATACGTACAACTGGGAAAGTTTGAATTTCCATCTTATGTGATTCGCTTCTTTCTTCTGCAATCCGGTCCGTTTTGGTGCTTTTTTGGTAAGTAACTATTAATTTTATAATATCAAATCTAATTTGAACTTTTTGTTTTAGCTGTATTCGGCTTCAACAGTCTATTTGTGGTTCTCACTAGATATGAGTCTGGTTTAATAAAAGTCTTACGGTTTCTGGTTCAAAATTCTACCTCGGATGTCCTGGTCCCCAAGCATCTAAGAGTTAAATATCTTCAGTGTTGCGTGAGGCTCTTTTCTCGCATATCAAAGTAAACAAGCTTCTTCTTTTATAAGCCCATTCTAACGAAATTTATTTTAGCCATCATGATCAAATTGAAAACCTGTTCAAGTATATTATCCTGGTTCAGTGCTCTGTAAGCAGTATTTTGATCTGCATGTTACTTTACAAGATCAGCACTGTGTTAGTAGGTTGATTGATTAGCTATATAATTTATGAATCCTTTAAGATTTCAACTTATTTTATAGGAAGTTGGCTGGGTGTGGATGGGCATGATTATGGTCTACTTTGTGACTATAGCTTTGGAGATCACCCTGTATAACGTAAGTGCACAGAAAGTTGAAACCCAGGTAAGTTATATGAATAATGTTATTATTTTCTTTTCTTAATAAAATATCATATTTCAGAGTGAACTACTATTCTATGATTGGTACAACTGTAGCTGGTATAATGAGACCAAGGAATTCAAGTTCATCATCAAAATGATGCTACTGTTCTCACGTCGAACTTTAGTTTTGAGTGTGGGTGGATTTACCAGTCTCTCCCACAAATTCCTGGTGCAGGTATTGTATTTCAAATTGCTAATGTTGACTATAAAATAGTCTAAAACCCATTTCAGGTGTTTCGGCTGAGTGCAAACTTCTTTCTGCTCCTACGAAACATGAACAACAAGTAAATCAATTTCAGCCTTTACAAAATTACAACGTTGGAAAAGTTATATTTTGAAAGGAAACTCTTTAAGCGACTTATACACAAAGATACATGTTAATTGTATTGACACATTAAACGTAGATGACAAATATGTTAATATATAAGTGTTTAGTATAGGTTTCAGGTGGAGCTACGGCAGAGATAGAGATATGCGATTGGATTATCGGATTGGAGTACAAGGTCTTGTGTTTTTCATTTTCGATTAGTTATTCTTTAACATATAATACAGTTCGTTGCTGGCTTGAAACTGGTGAAGCACAGTTGGCAGTTGATTATCGACGGGGGGCATCCTCTTGTATCATTATGGTATATGGCATACAGTATGCGAACGATGATGCGTTAAAGCTTAACGTTGCTCAGTTGATCTCCTTGGTGGAACCTTGTCTGGTCACTAAACAGAATATTTCGGCTAAGGCACTAAAATTACATAATTTCATTCAACGACTACGTTCTATCATAAATCTGATTTGTTCGTCTCGTTCTGATCTGATCCTCGTTTTCTCGTACTTAGTTTTAATTGAAGTAGTTGTTATTGGGAGTGGGGATGGTTGGAGCTCTAGGGTTCCAGGCGGTTGCGACTGAAGCAGCCTTCTGGGAGAGCCTGGGAAATAAGGCCAATATTCTGGACCTCATCTTTGAGCTCCCTTAACTCGGCGTCGTACTTATCGATCAGATTCTTCTGTTTTGTGCGCTGTTCCCGGTACTTTTCAATGCGTCCCGTCAGGTTGACACGGTTGATCTCACCCTCTACAGTTGCCAAACGATTCTCTGCGGGATTGGTTAGATTAGTTTTATAAAATGTTCGATTTAAAGAGGATTCTTCAACCTACCCAATTTATCCAAATCGCCAGTGTTGATGTCCTTCAGGTTCTCCAGCTCATCCTTGATGGCCGTCAGTTCGGCATTGGCCTTTTCGATCTGCTTCTGGGCCTCCTGGGTATCGGCCTTGGCCTGACCCACCTTTCGCTTGGCGTCGTCCACCAGGTTGTCGTCTTTGGTTGAGCTCTCCTCCAGCTTGAAGATGTCCATTTCGGTGAGCTTCACCCGGTGATTGAGTTGGTCGGCTTCATCTCGCAGATTGCGGGCGGCCACCTTGGTCTCATTGGCCTTGCGGCGGATCAGCTCGGCATCCTGTAGAAAAATTATAGAAAATTGAAATTGAAGTTCTTTCAAACAAATGGACCCGAAATGAACCATTATAACACAATAGTCGGTCAAGAAAACTAGACCGCGAATTCTTCAGAACAATAGGAACACTGCTTATAGACCTACCTTTGAAGCCTGTTCGGCGTACTTCAATTGCGCCTCCTGGGCGTTCTTCTTGGCCTCATTGGCATTCTTGTTGGCTCCGTCCAGGGCCTCCTCTGCCTGGCTGATCAGGCTCTTGGCATTCTGGATATCCTTCTCGATGTTGGGCACAGTCTGCAGGGCTTGCTCCGCACTCTCCGAAGTTCGCTGGACATCCGACTGGAAGCCGGCCAGCTTCTCGTAGGTATTATTGGCCTCCTTGAGGGTATTGTCACCCTGCTCCACTGCCTTGGTGGCCTTGTCGTGGGCAGCCTTGGCTCGCGCCAGCAGATCGGTGTCTTCCTGTTGCTGCTGTTCGGCTCTGGAAGTTAAGATTAGGATAAGTTACAAAAGATCTAATAAAGGAAGACATCCCAAGAACCCACCTCTTCAACAGCGTTTCCGTCAGTTCCTGCTCCGTTTCGAAATCGGCAAAGAGTTCGCCATTGCTGTTGGACAAATCGTTGATCTGCTGGAGCAGCTCATCCGCTCGCTCGTTGGCCGCCACTGCATCCTTCTTCAGCTGACTGATATCGATTTCCGGTTGGGTCTGACGGTTGACATCGTTCAGGAGGGTCAAGGCCGTATCGTACACCTCGTTGGCCTTTCGCAGAGCCTCCTTGGAAGTCTGGATGACGGTGCCCAGCGACTGTTTCACATGACTCAGCTCCAAACCCACTTCGGTCTGCAGTTCCGTGCCGATCTTCTCCTGCAGCTCGATGGCACTCTTGGCCAGCTGATGGGCCTTCTCTACGGCATCCTTGGCATCCTTTGCGTTCTTCAGATCAAACTGAGCCTCTGAATCCAGTTTGATGGACAGGGCACGTGCCTCGCGCGAGATGTCCGAGATCTGCTCGGACTGCTGGCCAAACTGAACGGATTTCTCTTTGGCTTTCTCCAAGGCCTGGGCACCCTCGTCACTCAGAAGATCGAGAGCCTGCTGAAGTTCTTTCTTGGCATTCTCGGTGATCTGGTCCAGAATTGTGTAGTTCTGCCGTGCCTTATCAATCTCGGCATTCGCATCCGACTGGAACTTATCCGCACTCTGCAGGTGCTCCCTCACGGTGTCCAAATGCTTGTGCAGATCATCGATGACCTCGACGTAGGTCTTACCACCCTCACCGGAATTCTCGCGAGCATCCTGGTCTAAGACGGCCACCTTCTCCTGGACCGCCTTTAGCTTGGCCTCGAACTCATCGTCATTGGTCACCGGGGTGCGGGCAATCTCGTCCAGCGTTTGGCTGAGATTGAACAACTTGGCGCGATGCAAATCGGCGGCATCTTGGACAAGGTTATAGCAATCGGGGCAATCGATGCAACCCCGATGCCTGTCGTACTTGTTCTCCTTGCAGCGATCGCAGCGACGACCCTCGACATTGTCATTGCAAGGACACTGGCCATTCTGGTCGCACTGGAATCCCTTGGAACCGCTCTCGTCGCATTCACATGGCTTGCAGCCCTCGCTGGAGAATCCGTAGAAGTAGTTCTCGCATTGATCACATCGCTGACCAGTGACTCCTGGTCGGCAATGGCACTGTCCAGTGTACCGATCGCAGGTGGAGTTGAAGCTGCCCACCGGATCGCACAGGCAGTTCTCGCAACCATTGCCCGATCGGATGTTGAAGTAACCCGGCTGACACTCTCCACAATCCCGGCCAATCACATTGGGCTTGCAATGACACTGACCTGTGACCTGGTCGCATCGCGTGATGCTCTGCTCATCCTGCTCGGTTCCGGCTTCGTAGCAACTGCAGCGATCACAACGTCCATGGGGCAGGGCCAGGGGATCTCCAAAGTGTCCCGACAAACACTGATCGCAGTGCTCTCCGGCCGTATTGTGGATGCACTTCAGGCACTCACCCGTCGTCCTATTGCAATTGCCCACGGCATTGGGATCCACATTGCCATTGCAGTCGCAACTCTTGCAGGTCTGCACTTCGCCCAGGAGTCCTGTGGGATCTCCATAGAAGCCATCGCTGCACTGCTCGCAACGGGAACCGAAGTAGCCCTTGGGACACTCCGTACATATAACCGTATCCTCGTTGATCTGCAGGCAGGCACCATCGTTGGGACAGGGACACCGCTTACAGTCGTTGGGAGTTCCACCCAACGCATTGCCATAGAATCCCTTGGCACACTGATCACAGTTATCCCCATGGGTATTGTGCTGGCAGATGCACCTGCCCGTCTCCGAGTCACAGATGTCCGCATGTCCATGGCAATCGCAGGGGATGCAGGGCATGAAGGGTCCTCCGCGGGCGGGACTGTGGCGGTAGCCAGGGGCGCAAGACTCACAGAACTGACCCAGGTATCCCTCCGGGCAGGTACACTGCTCGATCCAGGTGGCCGGATGACCAGCTGCACCGCGATGCGCCGTCTGCAGCTCCACATCGTCCAGGATGGCCTCACCCTGCACCGAGTACGTAGCCCTGATCTTGATGGCCGTCAGGTTGGACAAAATCGAGAGGAATCCACGAGCAGACTGGCTGGGTTGCCATTGGTAGTCGTGATGTTCGTGCAGACGGAAGGTATACTCCTTCACACCCTGATCGGGTATTCCATTGCCCTGGGCGAAAATGGGCAGCGAGATGCGACTGCCTGCTCCCTCCAGGATCACATCACTCACTCCGGTATTGACCACCTGACCAACTAGCTGCAGTTTGAACTTCAGATCCCTGTTGTAGGAGGCACGTTGATCGCCGAGGAAGCGATCCGGTGCCTGGAAGTACACATGTTCATTGCCCTGGGCAGTGGTTCCAATGCTTCGGCTGTACTGGTTGTACTTGATGTCCACCTCGCGTTGGTTCAAATCAGCGGCCGTCCAGCGTTCCTTGAACTTGTTGAAGTTGGAGGTCACCGAGACGATGGAGTAACCCGGTGCCGTCATGCACTCCGAGGTATGTCCGTAGCAGAAGCAGGGGGTGCAGCCAAATCGGTTGGTCTTGTCCAGGTTGAAAAAGCCGGGTTTGCATCTGTGGATATAGGGATATAGGTAGGTTTCTTGATTTCTATGAGTCATGTTAAAGTTCTCGTTAGTTATCTGACAGAGAGTGGTTGGAGGTTCGGGATGACATGGTTATTTTCTTAATGAGATGTTAGTTTTACGAACGAGATTTCTTAAGCTTCTAACGACGGATTTTTTAATGTCATGTTAAAGTTTTAGTTTGTAATCTGTCAGAAAGAGTAAAAATGAAGAAAAGAGTCGACAAAGTTTTGGTCTTCAGCTTGGTTAAATACACACTAGCATGATATAGAGCAACATATTATTACCAAAAAAATCAGTTTAACTTAAAGACTAAAGTTAACATGAGTTTGAGAAATCGGTTTAAGAGCAAAAGCAAAAGCGGATCAAAGATAAAGCATAGTTATCTTATAGATTGTAACTACTTACTCATTGCATCGCCTGCCCTCCACGTTGCCCTTGCAGAAACAGATTCCGGTCTCCGCATCGCAGGCGGGGGTGTTCTCATGGGATCCCCGACTGTCGCAGCCGCACTGCTGGCATCCATGGGGTCCGAACTGGTAGTAGTTGTTCTCACACCGATCGCACTTGTCGCCCGTCACTCCCGGCTTGCACTGGCACTTGCCGTGGCTGTTGCACTGCAGCGATCTGGAGCCCACGGGATCGCAGGCGCAGTTGATGCAGTAGCCATCCTCGCGCATGTAGAAGTTCTCCTTGCAGCGTTCGCAGTTGGGACCATCGCGATTCTCCC